TGAACCACCGCGGACCACCATCGATTTGAACCACTGATGACCACCGCCATCTAAACCACTACCGACCACCATCGATTTGAACCACTGTCTACCACCAATCTGAATCATTGTCGGATACCGCCGACCACCAACAATTTGAACAACCACCGATCTGAACCACCGCGGCCACTGCCCATCTGAACCACTGCTGATCACCTCTATCTGAACCACCGCGGACCACCATCGATTTGAACCACTGATGATCACCACCATCTAAACCACTACCGACCACCACCGATCTGAACCACCACCGACCACCACCGATCTTAACCACCACCGACCACCGTCGATTTAGTAATGTCGTTTGGCTTATGGTTACATTTGGGTTGTGTGTTTTATATTGTTTTACATATTAAATAATTATTTTATCAAAGTTCTTTTAGTTTTAAAAAAATTATAATTTTCAAAAATGGGCATTTTGATCATTTACCAATATTTCTTTCCAATTCCAAAGCTATACTATATGAACCAAACAGACAGATTTCAATTCCTTAACAAATTTCATTCCAATGTCTGCAAATCAAACAAATGGTCAAATCTGACAATATTTCATTCCAATTCGTTCAAAGTCAAATTCCTTTAACAAATTTCATTACATCCAAAAACATTCCACAGGCCAAACGTCATCTTAGTTTTTAAACTATTTAAGTATATTTAAGTCTCTGCAGAACGTAAAAAGTGATTTTGAGATGAAACCACATACATGCCTCTCTAGCTATAGCTCTTCTCAAAAAGAGATTGTCCACACATTACCAAGAATATCCAATCATATAACACAATACATTCTATATATATAGTATATCAAGAACCAGGCTACTAAAAAGAAACAAAATCAAGATAAGTACACAACAACATCCAATTTCATCCCCAAATGAGGATTTGTAAATATGAATCACATATAAAAGACAAAAGTCTTTCTCCAGTCACTTGCACAGATCGGCACCAAGAATTCAACAGCCTCAACCCCAAATAACCTCGAGTACCAGAACAAGAACATGAAAAATAAATAAGATAGAGATAGGGGCCGCAACACCGGTGCACCAAAGTTCCTCGCCTTTGTGACAAACGAAAAGGAAAAGTCCTTGCATTTCTGCAATGAACCCGTTTCCAGGACTCGAATCCATAACCATTTGCTCACAAAGAAGTAACTTTATCGGTAGCTCCAGGGCGGGACTCTAAATAAATAGAAATAGATGACATATAAAGAACTACCTAAAGACATACATCAAAAAAAGATTCAAGGGCTTCCTAACCCCAAATAATCTTGATTCTCTTCATGTTTCCCAATCCCCATTTGTGTAATCAGGCAAAACCACTTGATCTGACTTATATCAATTATCAGACTCACTCTTTCTTGCTGATTTTTCTGCACTTCTGTCTTCTAACAACTTGCCAGATTCATCATCTATCTGGGTTGCCTTCTTTTCTGCTTCTTTAGCCTTAAGGGCCTGTAATTTGGCATGATTATAATAAGCAACACCTAAGAAAGCAATCCCATAACCAAACAGATTGATGGGAGTGACTGTATCCTTGATCACAGACCAAGAAAATGCAATCAACAACCAATCTTTGACAACTCCAGCCACATTCATGGTCAAAGCTGAAGTCTTCCCAACCAGCAAGAACACTGCAAGATTCAATGCAAATGCACACAAAGAATTGGTGCCGAAGATCAAGTAATCGAAATGGAAACTTGAAGTATCCCTCAGTTTGGGGAACTCAACGATGATCCAAGGGATGGATAAGAAGGCAAAACAACAAGGGGCAACGTAGTAAAGGGAAGTAATGGGATTAAATGTGATGCCCTTTGAAGTCAACAAGATCTGAATTAAAACCAATCGAGTAGCCTCAAAACAAACAGCACCCAGCTGTAACATCACACCCCAGCTATTGAATTTGGCTTCGCCATAAGCAGCGATAGCAACACCAAAAGAGATGGATAGCATGTTAGTCATGGTATCACCTTTAAACCCCTCTTTTTTCAACAAAACACCAATGGAGTAAACAGCAACAGGCATCAGAGCCTTAAGCATTTGAATAAAGGAAACAGATAGGAAAATGTAAGCCGAATTGGAAAGCCACAGGCTGAGAGAGTAAAGCAAACCGATTGGAACGACGGATTTTAGGTAAATATCGCGAGTCATCTGAACTGGTTCAACGACTTTGAGGACACTTACGAGGATGTAAGCCAAGGAAGAACAGAAACCCATGTGAATCATGGTAAGTGAGATGGGATAAGGCCAATCGTACATCTTTCGATCGAGGATGTACTTGTTGTAGACGATGACAGTGAAGCTGAGGAAGATCCATATAGCGACATAGGTGTATGAGAGGATGATCTTCTTCAAAACACCTTCGCTTAGGGCTCCCCCTTTCCCCATTCTCGTTGGACTGGATCTGAGTGATTGATGGGTCAAAACTGATGAAATCAATTGGAAAAAGAAGAAACCCCAAATGGGATCAGGGATCTGTGGAGAATGGAAGATGGGTTTAAAAGAGATTTGAGTGAACGTAGATGGAGGGATTAGGTCGTTGAAATTTAGCAGTGGCGGTGTGTGATTTGGGGTGAAACTGTGTGTGGAACAGGGGTAGGTGATGGCTGAGGACTAAAAGCCTTTTTCTTGACTTCTTGATCCTAATTTTATTTGTCATTCACCTATAAAATGAAAAAAATGAAAAATGCAATGATGTATTTTGGTTTTTTTATTTAAATTTAAAATGAATCGATTTCATTCATTGGATCATACTGGATTCATTTAATATTTTGATATATTTTTTAATTAATTATTCATATATCTTTATTAAGTTATTAAAATTTATTATATACTAGAAAGGGCATTCGCGCAATGCAATGAGATTTATCTTGATTTTAATATTTTATTTTATTTTTTATCTTATTCGATGTTATAATATGGTCTTATGTGATTTTGAAAAAAACAATAATTTTTTTATTTTTTAAATAAAATATAAATTTGAAGATATCATAAAAATTTGACAAAAATATTTCAATATTAATATCAAATTAATTATTTAAAATTCTTATTTGTATGTAATTTTTTAATTTAATTTTTTTTATTATAATTTAATTTAGGTTTAATAACGAAATAATTTATATTTGGTTTAATAATATAATTTTCTTATAAATATAATAATTAATTATTTTATTAAAACTCGATAATTATCTTAATTTTATTTTAGATTTTTTATATTTAAAATGATATGTTTATCCTTTATTTGATTATGTTTATCCGCAGTTAGTTACACGAATTCAAAATGAAGCTTTAATAAGTTGTATTCATGCATAATTTACTTGTAATTTTTAATTTTAAGTAATATGCATCAATATACAGTATTTCGTGCATAAAATATGGTTTTTTAAGAGTTTTGTCACATGCTTTATAATATAGTATAGATAAATATCAACTAAAAAACAATATCGTAAAATGTTAACAATTATATGTAGTTATTAATTGGATTGTAGTTGAATGGTTATTGGATAATCGTTAGATTGGATCAGTTCGATTTTATTATATTCGATGTTCGATTGTTATTCAAGAACGGATCGATTCAATTTAAATGTTGAATATTGGATCTGCTGCGATTCAACTACAATTGAATTACGTTCGATTGTAACTAATTCAATCGAATGAGTTTTTAACATAACATCCAAAACACAGTTAACAGTTAGGTAGTGTTTGGTCCGCAAATCGGATGAGACAGGACGGGACAGTACGGGACAGGACAGGACGGGACGGGACACATGACTAATTGTCTGTCCTATGTTTGGTACGACTAGAACATGACAGGACAAAACTATTATAATGACCATATTATCCCCAAATGTTGTTCAATGTTATTTTATATCATATAATGATTGTAAAATGACAAAAAATCAATCAAAATATTGTCATTTTAACTTTAGTCCCATGTTGTTCCACCTTTTTTGGTGGAACAAGAAATATCAAGATTTGTCCCATTAAAATTAAAAATAGTCTCATCTTGTCCCATGTTTTTTTTGTCCATGACATGCCAAACATGAGACTATTTTTTTTGTTATGTCTTATCCCATGTAGTCTGCATACCAAACGCACCATTAAAGAACAAAATTTACAAAAAAAAACTACTACATTTTTTTAAACTAGGAAAGCGTCACTTTAGTTTTACAAGAAAAAGTTCAAATTCTTACAGTCTTTTTATTTGTATATTCTGATTGAAAAAATAATAAATTACACATTCAAGTTTATATTTATCTATATTATATTTTAAAGTATTTGACAAAAAAAATTAAAAAAAAAATTTAATACATAAAGTATTGTTTATTAATGTATATTACATAAAAAAATTCAAAATTACAAGTAAATGATGTGTAAGTACGACTTATTAAAGCTCACATTTTAAATATGTGTAACTAACTACAAATAAATATAATCAAATGTAAGATATACATCTCATTTTAAATATAAAAAATCTAAAATATAATTAGTAAAATCATTGAGCTCTAAGAATATTCCATTATTATCGTTATAAAAAAATTATATAATTAAACTAAAATAAATTACTTTATTATTAAATCTAAATTAAATTATAAAAAAATGAATTAAAAATGTTACACAAAAAATATGAATTTTTTTAGATAGTTAATTTGATACTAATATAATCGATGTGTGTTTTTTCAAAAAAATTATATATGTAAACCTATATTTTACTATAAAAAAATATTTTCGATTTTTTAAAACCACATAAAACAATATCATATCGATAAAAACAAAATATCAAAATTCAAGATACATATTATTGTAATTGATTCAAGATTATTAAACTGAGTATTTAATAGAGTTGAAACTCTATAAATTATTATACACGACAACTATCAAAATTTATTAATTAACTAATTATTGATAATTAAATATTAAATATTAAATATTAATAAACAAGTTTCAACTATGCTCAACAATTGAGGCCTTTTAATTTCATCTCCAAACTAATAACTCTCTTTTAAATATAAATTTGACCACTTTATCTCTTTTTTAAAGCAATCTAAAACTTAACATTTTTCTAATAATAATCAATACTCAATTATTTATATTTATATTTTTGTCTCTATGGTTTGTAATTTATTGTTGTTTTCGTACATAAGACAAAATATGTTAAAAAAAGGGGTATTTTAGTCTTTTTAATTTATTTATTTTTAGTTTATTAAATATATTCTTTTGTTTTTTTTATATATTTTAGTCTCTTTGATTTAATAAATCTATATATTTTTTGATAAAAAAAAATAATACATAAAGAATTATATTATTTTGTTATTTTTTTAATCATAAAATAATTAAATACTTTAATACAATTAGTTCTTTATATATTTTTTGTCATTTATAGTTTTAGTTTCTTATGGTCCCTAATAAAGAAAGAAGAATAAACAAAATATTATTATGTAAGAGGTATTTAACGATCTGCACTTGAATTACTTAGTGACAAAAATTGAACTAATAGAAACTAAAATTATAATGACAAATAATATATATAAAAAAAGAAATGTATGAAAAATCTTTAATTATCTTATCATAAACAATAACAAAATAATATAATTCTATATGTATTATCTTTTTTATTAAAAAATTTGTTTTATTAAAATACCCAAAAAAATATTTAATAGACCAAAAAGGGGGATAACGAGGAGACTAAAATACCTCTAAGTTAAATGGAGGATTTTTAATAGATTTAGTCTCAGGGACGAAAACAATAATAAATTACAAACTATAAGGACAAAAACAACAATAACTAACAAATTATAAGGACGAAAATAGAAATTTCAAAACCACAAAAATACAGATCACAATCCTTCACAAATTAAAGGGACGAAAATGGTAGTTTACTCTAATATTTTATGAAAGGTACTAGATATTTAAATAATATAATTCATATGAGAGTAAAGTTTAGTTTTGATTCCCTAATGTTTGTCATTTTCAACGGTTTTTGTCCCTCAGCTTTATTTTAACAAATTTGTCCTTCATGTTTGTCAATTTCCAACAGATTTCGTCCCACAGTTTAACGCTCATTGACTTTTTTTCGTTAAATCCAGTTTAATGAGTAGTATTTTATTCAATTTACTCAATTTTAAATATAAATCTCGAAGTTCTTATTTGTCCACCATCTTCAACCTTTGTCTCATCTCTCCAATCAAATCATCCTCAAGAAAACCCAAGAAATACTCATCCATCCATTGCCACCGTCACCGTCACCACCAGCAGCTCACCACTACACCCACTACATTTACTCAAGTTCAACTTTGGTATCCTATTGTGGGTCTCATTCCCATGACATTTTGGGCACTTCCTACACTCCCTCGTCGAAAATATACGTTTTTTTTCCGATGCCACAAAGCTAAAGATTTCTGATAATAGTACTATTAATACAAACGCACCTCGTATTTCATTCTCGTTTCCTTTCCTAGAATCTCTTTGGCAAAGGGGTATGTCTCACCGGCTTCGAGTACCAACTCAAAGAGTTGTGATGTTTACATAGGATATCGTGGCCCAAACCAAACTTGATTAGATTATGCAAATTGGTCAAATCGGATCTGAACTTCAGGAGATTGCTTGCTTTGTCGCATACATAGCCAAAAATGCAGATTCTCTGAGCCACGAGAGTCCTGATAGGGTCATTTGCTCGGTCACTCGAACACCCCCATTCTCCGATAAGCCCCAAATCAATCCACATGGATGTTTCCCATAAAACGAAAATGAAACCCATAATCGTAAAACCACGATTGATGGTTTCCAGATCAAGGGAGACGAGTTTCAGAATCATCGGATAGACTCAAAGCCTCCATATTGATGGTTTCCGGATTGAGGGAGATAATATTCTTTTATTTCATATTCTTTTATAAATTTGTTTAAAGATTTTAACTTCTAATTTTTATTTATTTTAAAGAACGTGTTAGAGATGTTATGATAGAATTCAATTATTCAACGTCAATCAACAAAATTTTAGAATTTAAACAAATTATCATTAACTAGTAAATAGGCATTAATTAAATATTGATATTTAAAAAACATTACTGTATTATTTATTACATTATTAGTTATGTTAAAATCATATTTTAGATTAAAGAAATAATTAATTTAAAAATACCTACTATTTTGTATGGATTTGTGAAATATATTATATATTGTACGTAGTAGGTTTGATCGAATTATTGGTGCAATAATTTAATTTGGTTATAAAGTCAATGGAATTTATATTTCTTAAAATTCAATCAAATTATCATTTTATTTTCAAGTGAATTAGGTTTTAAATTCATTTATTATTTAAAGCTGAATAAATTAATAAAGGAAGTAATCCCCCTTTGTAGTTTATACCACGAAGTGATCACTTTACAACAAGAATAAAAAGAACAAAATATCATGAATTTACGCCCTCTGTTGCTTTCAGTTGCGACATTCCTGTTGCAGCACCAAAATATCAATCAATCTTTCTTTCCAAAGTATCAATTACGATCAGTCTCTTCTACTTAGCTTCAAACTCAACAAAGGGTAAAAATAGAATAAAAGACTCAGTT